AGTCACGTCCGCCACGTCACAGTGTTGTTAAATGGACATATGTGGCTTTTTATAGGAGAACGCTTGCCAGGCGAAAACCCACCACGTCCTGGAACACTGCCGCCGAACCATTTGCTGGAACGGGAAAATCCCGAACCACCCAGCTGGCACCACGAGGAGGTTGTTCGGCAAACCAGCGGGGGTGCGTTAAAACATGGTTTGGCAGGTCCGGCCGCCAGCACCTCCGTCGAACAGAGTAGTTCGAGAGAGTGAGAGCAGAGAGAGAGAGCGAGAGAGCGGAGCAAACAAGCAGAGTTGTTGAGACGGATCCATAGGTTGTGTGGGCGCGGTGCTTCTCGGTTGTCCAGGCCTAGGAAGAGGATTGACTTAGGGGACCATACCCGGAGTCTTAGGTCATAACAGACCTAACCCGCAAGGCAGCAGGCCGATTGACGTATACCGCTAACAGTTGGGAGCCGGCTCTCTAGATGAGGATAAAACTGCTTTCGAGTAGAAGCAAACTACTCAGGGCACCCAAAGAGCTCGAGTGAAACAGCAAAGAGGCCAGGATTCCCTGGACTACCGGACCCGCCGCGAAGCACGAAAGCCGTTGACAGCCGGGTGCCTCATGCGCCTTCATAGAAGCCGGTGGCCATCGAGGTTGTTCACCCGCCCTCCGTTGTGTACTCACTTCTGTGACCAGAAGTGAGTGGTTAGTGACCCTGTGGCCGATCGCGTTGGCTTTGACAGCGTCTTACGAGCCCTTGTGGTATTTAATGAAGAAGCAAGTAAATAGCCAAGTACCCCCCACGCTCTAGGGCGCTGGCGCTGATTGTCCGTGACTGCTTATTCATCTTGCTTGCGAACAGCCGAGACTTACTCACAGTTACCTTCGCAAGTCAGGCATTCCCCGATCGCAACCTGGGGACGCGCCCAGTGGCGCACAGCTCCGCCAAACGGACCAGTGGTTGGTTTTTGATCACCACTGCCTTCGGAGCACTGATGGTGTACGATGGCAACATCACACTATTAATGAAGATGTTCGACGGAAAATTTGGAGATCCGACAGACTTTGCCGGCCACTGAGCAGCATAATTTCTCTGCGCAGACTTCAGTGGCTTAGGCATGTTCTTCGCGTGCGTACTCATCATCATCGTTTACCTTGCCGTGCCCTTTTTGTGCGTGCAGCAGTCGGCTGGAAGCGAGAGCAAGGAGGCCAACCTATGACTTGGGCCAGGAGCATGAAGGAGATAACTTCAATGTTTGCCGTAGTTGGGCGCTCTCGACTCCCTGACTGGGGGGGGGGGGGGTAAAGGATCAAGAACACGCGTGGCTGAAAACAGTTTCGGATATGGCAAGAGACCGTGCGTACTGGCGAATCTGTTGTGACTCCATATTCCCATGACCCCTGGCTTTTATTCGTTTCCTCTCTCTTCGTCGGTTTATTGTATTCCCTGTACTTTGTGGCACCATACCCATTGTACTGTTGGCCGTGTTAAATATATATATATATATATATATATATATATATATATATATATATATATATATATATATATATATATAAAGCTCGCAGTTAAGCGAATGTGCACTTACCGGGAACCAATTGCGAGCATAATATCGTGTATGGATTTTACACTGACAAGCTAGGTGTACAGACGCTGTACAGAATGGAACCGCTTCCAATAGATGGAGGAGTCCGTTGAAGTTGCCTAGTTCGAGGTGTTGGAATGGCGCATGGACCTATGGCACTTGGAATTTGCCTATTCGAACCAATCTTTTCACCTTTCGCGCAACACCTCGAGGCGGTTTCTGCTTAGGAGCCCCAGAATGGCTTGCGGGATTTTGTGATCGCTATTGATCAGATAGGTAGAGAAAGCCACCTATTGTTCCGGCATATCCGGGGTAGGAGTACAATAAAGACAGGTATAATTGCGGCGACTGAGAACATTAGGCGACATTTTTTCCAAATCCACCTGCGGGACATTGCGAAGAAGAATTCAAATACTTACACTGTTTCCATCATTTTCTGGATCAACTGAATCGGCTAAGACCGTTGCTACCTGTAGCCAAACCTCTCATTTTAGAACGCTCCAACTCGAGCTGATCTTATTGACACGGAATCGGTCGGTTTTACCCGAGAAACCTCGCCGCTACTAAGGACGGTGACGACTCACCAGCTGTTCCCATACTTCCTCTAATCTACCGTATATGATGCACCAAAGAAGGGCGCACCCTTTGTAGTTGTCGACTGTTGCCTCCACTCATGACATTAGTCACTGGATTTTGTACGAAAATCGTCGGGTTATTGGTCCTGTCATCAATACGCACATACTAGTAACCCTCATCTCACTGCTGAGACTAACTGAACTCGGCGAGAAGTAGACCATAAGTTTTGTAACGACAGAGCCAAAGACAAAACATACATTTACGTATAAAATGAATATCTGGATACATACATAACTAACGTTGATTACTTAATTACTAGGAAGCTGCAGTTTTTAAACCTAGGCCATACACACGGTTGGCGTAGATAACAGTGGCGTTGAGGATTTGTTGCATGTTATTGCCTCTATGGTTTCCTGAAAACAGGTATAAGGTAAAACTCAAAATCAACTTTTCGAAGTGAGGGCAGCAAGCGGAAATAACTTTGTGTCAAGCAAGTCATCGGTTGGGATATTGAAGCACAAAGTGCATGCTCAGCAAATCTTTTCATCATGTAATTGTTGTAAGCACCTAAAGCATGTTCCTAGTTCTGGATGTTACAATTCAGTGGGTACGGGGATACTGGGTATTTGACTGAGGGCATATGATTCCACATATAAAAATGTTAAGTTCAGAAGGGCTTTACAGCTCCCATTGACTAGCTGGATGCGAATACGTCGCACACACAGACGGCTTATCATACTCATCTTTCTTGACTTGATGGCTTTCACTGACTCGGTTGATTTCTCCACGTTACATCATTATTCATTTTTAACTGGCGATCCGGTGGACTTTTTCAACTAAATACTCTGTACCACGACTTTTGAGATTGTGAGCAATTTTCGATGTAACTTTCCTCTGCGTTTACCATGAAAACACACGTATGTCAGAACTTTTATCTGTTTTACTCCCTGCAGCGTTGTTCTCCGAGATGATTCTTTTAAAGTAACGGCTCTTCCATGTGACTACTCAACAATATTCTAGTGCGCGGACGTTATGGGCTATGAGACGGAGCCCAACGTCTACACTCGTTCTTGGGGATCCGTGGAGTAACTCTTCAGACGTCTGGTTTAGAGTCTGCATTCTCAACTCGGGTGCCTGCTTCTGCATACGTCTGGGAGCCCCGGCAGCATACTAGCCCACGTACGATCACTTGACGTTGGCCGACAGCAAAGCACCAGTACTGATTACCGATAACTGCTGATACTTTTCTTACAAGCGCTCTTGAGTAGACATTTCCTTCATGTTATGCAGACGCAGATCGTCTTTACCGGACTGAGCATATACACTTCCGGCTCTCACCTTCGCTGGGCAACTATCAGAATTAATATCATTCTTGATCATCAAAACTTCTAAGAGGCGCGTGTGACTATTCCGTGTTTCAGCCCTTTATATAACAAATGGAAGTATGTTTATTGGTCGGGGAATAGGTGCAAATTACTACAGTGCGGTTTTTACCGAAGATATGGCCATTACGTCTTGAGGACGTCAGAAAGCCTGATGTCTTTGACCATCTGCGCGTGCTTTACGCGATCTCTTCATGGTGTCACCACTGTGAGAGCAAACGCGGGTTCGAATCCGCGTAGCGGTGGGTGTTCTCGCGGTGTACGCAGCCAGCGCTCGACTGGTGGTGGTCGCACGGCAGCGAAGCACCGTTACGGCGTACAGCTGACGCATTGTTGTTATTATTACCGTGAGAGCAACAGTACTTTCGACGCCGGTATAGCCACGTTTCTTGCTTACCCACATGTATCATTTGGAGTTACGGCACTTGGTTAGATGTGGCCTCTGGCGGATGAAGTAACACAAAGAAATAAAGAGATCACGTCATGAATTTGATTTGACTGTTGCATCCCCTCTTCCTGAGTGAAGCCTTTGGGATCCGGTGCACAATTAAGAATAGCCTTTGTTCCCGAACATGATGTGTATCCTACATCCTGTGCTTTTATTTCACTCATAATTGTTTCCACCTGTCACTTACATCCTGTTACCATTATTTGTTCTTCCATAAAGCTTTGCTCTTACGTTCGCATTCTTTTTCGTACATATCTGCTGTTTTATTGTTCCATTGCGACCGGATCCATCACACCTCGGTGTCTGAATTATAGCTGATAGAACAACATGTCGTCATATCTTCTGGCTATCCAGCATTTGATTATTAATGATTAGGACGGTTTTTGAGAAAGTCCCAGCAACCCACATGCCACGTAATATAACTTCCAATTCAGACGATCGTTTTGCCCTACTGCGGCTCGTCAGCGGTGCGCGTTCCCTCGGTCTCCCACAGGGAACTGAACCCATGACCACTAGCGACTTGCACCAACTAGTCGGCAGCTTATGCCACTAAGCCACGGAAGACATTGGCGTACCGTCCTAATTTGCCAGCTGACTGAATTTCTCAATGGCAGAGCATCTTGAGATCACTATCCCAACACTGCCTCATTTTCTACACCATTAAGTCATCGATTTTTCACTTTTCACCGTTTGTGTGTGTGATGTTTGGGTTAAGAATTTGGTATGCCTTGTCTAGCCTTTTCCCCTTATTTCTCCCCTAGCCTTACAGTCTAATTGGGGCTTTTCATGAATTCTGACCAAAGCTCCTTGTAATTAGCCGTTGTATTTCACTATATTTCCTGTTAAAGTGTATAACTACAGCGTATGCTTGAATTTGGGTCACCGCCCCCAGCATCATTTGAATGAAGGTTGGTGCTCGCTTATGAAATCTGCTTAGGCATACCATAGAAGTTTATGACTGAACTAATTGTTCAAATTGTCAACTTATCTGTATGTCGCCTATATGTTTTCGCACTTTGTAGCAACGCTGGCGGCAATATCATAAATCGCCACCTGTATGATCATTTAAAAGGTGGCAAGAAACGCTCGGAGCTGCAATTCATCCAAATAGACCGCCCCCTGGCCCGATCTGTTTTCAACAATGAAGGTACCTTCATACCGCCTGACAAATACCATGTTTTTCTCATTTTATTGTTGTGGTAATAACCAAAGAATTAGTGCAGTTAACCCTCGTAAAAATTGCTCACGCAGTTTATCATTCCGTTCAATCGGTTCATTCCTTTCGCACCAGTAGAAGTATCATTTATTATACCGCTTTTGCCTTTGCGCATCTGGCTTCAGACCATCGGAGCTCTTGATATGTCTCTGATTTACTACCACTGTTTTGCACAATTCGACCTTCTCACTTGTCAGTCTAGTGGGCTTCTCAGTCCATTGTTGGCGAAACTGTTGGAGTTTGCGGTCATGCTCATCCGGAGTGGCGCCAAGTATCGGCGCCTCACACGCCACGCAAATCGACCTTCGCAAACCATCTGGTTCATGTACTGTGTGTTTTCGGTATATCTGCAGGTCTGTAGCCTTAAGGATCACAAGCCTGCCTTGGAATCCGAGGGCGCGGGTTCGAGCCTGCGTAGGGACCAGGCAACTCTCGCAAGTATCCTTAGCCCGTGTGCGACTGGTGGCGGTCGCGCGGCAGCGAAGCGTCGGTGCTGCGTACTGGCGTACTGCTGATGACTTTTTTCGGTATCTCACAGCATATTAGAGCTTTTCGACGTTGTCTCCCATCACTGCGCTCCACGACGTGGTTTGTCCTTCATTGGGCTCTCCAGGCAGATATGATCTGAGCTGGGAGTGGAACTTGACACATGGTGCTTGACGGCTGCCTGCTTGATCACCATGCACTCGAGCTCCGCGGAGCACAGTGGTGGTGTCGGCACGGTTTACAACCATGTGCTGAGTTATACTCCCAGACTAGTCTGTTTCTACCTAAAGCACTCCAAACAAGGACGAAACTCGTCGTTGCGTGTAGTGATAGAAGGGAGCAATACCGAAACTCAGTCGCGGTCCCAATGATGGAAATGGCCCACGTTTATTTAAGTGGAAAACGGAGCCCCGATTGAGATGGCATGTCGCAATCCACATACTTGGCGGTTAATCCAAACATACAATCGCACTGGATGCTTTAAAACCGAACGGCGAACATAATTACGGGGAATCGCCTGAATGGTTCACCAAATGTTGTCAGATAACTGGACTCAATATCGCGGGCGACCGTGAAAAACCTTACTGCTGGCAGTATTAGCAGTACCTCATCCAGTGTCGACAGAGTATAGTCTCCTCTTCTTAAGGCAGCTTTAAGTGGTTTCGGATCAGTACACACTCGTAAACCGCTGGACTTAGTAAAAATTGTTTCCTGGCTAACTTGCTTTGCCAGTTCATCAACCCTGGTTATTACACCCAGTTTGATTAGGTACTCACGCTCCTGAGAAAATCCCACATGTAGTTGTAAGCATGCATATCGGACTTTCGCCGGTAAGTATGATTACCCGGTAGTTTACCAGTTATCCTATGACAGCGGTTAGTGGTATGCGTGGCTGGTTAATACGTTCACGGTTAAAAGAGATGAAGCCAAGTTATTGATTAGTATTCACTTACACAGTTGTCACAGGATCTCTCTGCACCACCACAACTGCGATCTGATAACTCACTTCACTCCCCGTATTTGTGACCTGCAGTACAGCGTTGCTCTTCATCCGGAATTTCGCGCTGTTTTACTCCAGCGCAGTTTTTTCGGGTAGGATGTTGACTATTGCCCAACTATTGTCCAACTGGAAATGTATTGGTTATTTGTCAACAATTACCATTCTACAGACTTTTTATCGTCTCGATTATATTATACATGTACAGTACTTACTGTAATTATCGCTCACTGGGCATTCTGCTATTGACCTTTTCCATCAGGTGGTCTTCGGTATTCGGACCTTATTCAAAAACATCTCATCACAGCAATGATTCCTTTTCTTCCTCTTCAAGCGGAGCACATCCGGTTATGTGTGCGCGATGTTACTGTACAGCGGGGTGTGCCTTTCACAGAAGACTTGGTCAATTTTGTACTTGAGGAATTGGAATGGGCCCCCGAGGGCACTCAGTTCTTCTCTGTGTCTGGATGTAAACGTGTCTATGAAAAAGTCGCATTTTACCTGCAACATCAGCAATAGCATCCATTGCTCTGCCTTAGGCTGCTTGCGTTTTTAGATCCTTATGGAGACTTTCCACTGTCCTGCGGATGATTCCCTACTTTTCATCTTTCTCCCAGTGCGCGATTCTATCCTAAGAATCAGTGTATGGTTTGTATATTTACGTATTTATTTTTGTACATATATATATGTTAGATGAAATCCACTTTCTGTTACTCAAAATGCCTTGTCACAACACGTCTGGCATTTGGCGCTGTTGCTAGTGCTATCTTCGGACTCATGTTTGTTCGCAGTTACTTGCTTTCCTCGCCCACTGGGTTCGTTTGACTCAATGATTAGTTATATTTCTTGCCTACATGCGACAGCTACACCATTTCGATGTGGCGTCTAGCCAAAATCAATAACCTTGCGATATTCTATCCACTTGATTCCTTGCCATGGGGATTTATCGAGCTATTAATCCCATACCAAGGAGATTTTTCATTTACGAAGAACGGGACAGTCATATGTATCGACTAGTTACACGGCACCAAGGGAATGCATTATTCGTCAAAGCTAGCTCGTCACGTAACGCATGCTTCGGTCGTTGAGGAATCCAGCCGTGATGTCCCTTATACATATCCTCGGTTCAAATAATTTGCAGCTGGGCATCCCAAATCGGTCATCATGTGAACAGTAGCATGTTAACTTTAGTTCATATTTCACGCAACAAACTACCGCAAGTTCATCCCAGCAATGCTAAGGGATGTTTGCGTGGCCAGCTGTTTACACTGACGGAACTTACGGACGTAGTACGCGCTGCACTTTGTTGTTACGCAAATCTACCACACCAACGTGACTATCCGCTTATTCGCCAGGCTGGACACTTCCTTTCAGCTAGCCTTTATTTTCTGACCTCTTTTACTTCCGCACAATCTACCCCCAGGATTTAGTTGTTACATTTATTATCGGGTTTCTTAGTAAAATAAAAATGACTTCTTCCACCAAGCACGGTTCCACTACAGTAGCAAACTATGCTCTCTGTGGTATCGCTATTTAGCCAGACCATATGAGCTGTCTCCGAGTTCAATACAGTATTGTATCCAATCTGTTTATTTATGTCATCAACCTATCCATTCTTCCGACAAACAAATTATCTAATTTCATATACTCATGAGTAGGGGATTTTGATATAATTAGTTGAGGGTTCGTCGCAGTCAGTTCCAAATCAGATAGTCGTCCACATGCCCGGAAAAGCACTAGACTGCAGTTTCAGCATGTTGGGCATCATCAGTAGTGCGTATCCATCGGATCTGTCAGGATTCGAACCCATGACCACCGGCAACTTGCACCGTCAGTCAGCAGCTTATACCATTGGGCCACGGGGGACAGCTTCGAACCATCGTGATTTGCAAGCTAACTGCGATATAGCGCGTATTATTCTCCACTGTCATGCAAGTTATGAACGTTGCAAAGGACGTGGTTAGCCCCGAAAGACACGACGTCCACTGACAGCATCGGTGTACGACATAGCATTTGGAAACTGTCAGGGCAGATATATTTTGATGTAGTCATGAGTAGGGGGTTTCGATATAAATAATCGAAGGTTCATCGCAGCTTGTTCCAAATCAGATAGTCGTCCACATGCCCGGAAAAGCACGACCGCAGTTTCGGCCTGTTGCGCATCATCAGCAGTGCGCATCCATCAGGATACGAACCCATGATCACTGGCGGCTTGCAGTCAGCAGCTTATGCCACTTGGCCTCGGAGGACACAGCGTTAATAACTTGCATCGCATTGGAGGATGAGACATGCTCTATCGGCTGCTGGCTGGTGGTGCAAGCCACCGGTGGTTTTGGGTTTGAATGCCGATGGATGCGCGTTACTGATGATGCTCAACAGGCGGAAACTGCAGTCTAGTGCTTTCCCAGGCATGTGAACCACTATCTGATTTGAAACTGACTGCGTCGAACCCTCGTAGCTAATTTCAGTTGATGGTGTTTTCTTCTCATTAAGGCGTTTAGTGGTCATTTGAATGATGTGCTCAAGAATGCATATTATCTTCGAGGTTAGTGACCTGTTAAAGGGAACGCCTTCGAGGCAGTTGCGTGTGGCGCAAAAAGGAAGTTCATTGAATTCCTTTCTCTATTGTCAACAGAATTCACAGCGGTAGTTTGACAGTTATGCTCCAACCATTTCTCTACTTGTTCATTTGTTGTACCATCCAGTGACAACATCTCTTTCATCACCATGGGAGCATTGTAGAGGCCATACTGGAACACTTTTGCTCTCATCAGGAGACAGCCGTGATAGGCTTAGGTTCTTCTTTTGCACGAAATGCAACCGAATAAATTCCCATCTACTTTAGACTGCTCATCATCATGCAGGTATGTTGTGGTCAAATTCGTGGGATATACTTGGAACCAATCGAAAAGTCCTAGGTTCAGAGCGGTTTGGGAACAATCGGTTGGCATATTTATCATACATGCTTCTTCAGGTTAGGTGAATCACTATACACTCGGGACGACATTTTATAGCAAACGTACATGTTAATCACAATAACAAAACGTGGGCCAAGGGATTATTGCAGTCACAGGTCGGGATGTCACCACCTAGTTCTGCCACAGTAGGAATAATCTAGATGTATCCTTTATACATCATGGCATTGACAGATAAGTCAATCTTGACGACGATCGAGAGTCGCTGTTCGCTTTCCAACCGGATCCGCGCATCGGCACTCGTCAGACTTGTTCAGTACCCTACGAATCGGATCCGAGGTTTCTTCCTTTTATGGAATTCCTGTTGCTCCTATCCACTCCGTCGTGGGTCTTGAATGTGGGTTTAGTACTTTCTGTAGCGCATTTGACTAACCGCCATATGTAACCAGTATCTAATGTTTTACTCATCTCTTTCCGTGCACAAAGTATGTGCCCCGTAGTACGGTATTGAGGCTATCCCAGCGTAGTGTTTCGAATGACCCCAAGTGTGGTGCAGCGCTCAATCGGCTTACGGTATATTGTCGTTTTCAAATTACCTCCATTTCTTTGGATTAGGCAGTCAAGAAGTGGTGCTGTGGCACCGTAAGACTCCAACTCCTAAGGCAAAATGTATACTTTCGTCAATGTAGCTTTAGTGCTTTGGCAACTCGTCCTTATCTTGTTTAACAATTGCATAAGTCTCGTCTACCTAGTGCAACCAAATTTTCGGTGAGCTACATGTGTTTGATAATACCCTGTTTTTGAAACCCTCCGTTTATCAGTTTGTCACTACAGGGTGTACAGCTTCGACTGATAAACGAGGTAGAACATATTTATCGACTATCTGGTTAATTGTAACTTTGGTTCTAACATCTAGGGCGCTTTCTTCACTTGGACAACGTCTCGCTATTTCTAACGCATTTTCTCTGATACATTGCCAAAAACCGATGTTCCGTCGCTTACCATCAAGTCGTTCGGCTCAATGGTGAGCCCTGCTATCTTTGTGGTAAACTCGTAGAAGTTCTTCACGAAAGCACCCGCCCGCCCTTTCAATGGTTGCAATGGCCTCGCTAAATGTCTAGCGAGTTCTTGAGTCGGGGAGCTTATGTCATCGATTATGCGTCGTATGCGAAGGTTGAGTTTGTGTATTTTAGGTAAGTCATTAACACTTGCGGTAGAATCCATTTCGGGTATGCCACTTGCCTACAACTGAATCGTTCTTCACCGTTCTTAACTAGTTTCCAGTCTCTTACTTATTAATTACTGTTGCGGGTTTTTTCAGAAACTATATGGGCCTGCCTCCAAGTGCTGTCCCATTTTTTCCAGTTACTCTGACTTGTTCAGTAAAACCATTGCTTTTCCATTACGGACCTTCCTGGTCACAATGCTGCGATCTTCATTCAAGCATTTCAACGCAATACGTTTAGCTGCTGCAAGATTCCTTTTCTCCGGTTTTTGAAACTTGATAACATTCACGAACTGTGCACTACTTTTCTCCGCCTTGATTGCAGGTAATTTCGTTACCGCGCTCTCAGCGGCGGGGATGATCTCTTCTGTATATATCTTAGCTTTATTTCCAGTAAAAGTCCAACTATTTCGTGCATTCTACATTATTTCATTCATGGCTCTATTTGACATACATACATTACAGTACGTACCGTTAGATCCAGACCTGCCAGTAGGACCGATTTCCTTCTGCTGCATAGTTAGAATATCGCACTTACGAATTTGCTTTTCCTTCGAATCTTGCCGTCATTTCAGCTTAACTTCTGAAGCTTTGTTGAAAAGTCGGTCGTAGGCGGGAAGCATTACGGTGGTCTGTAGATCCAGGCTAAGTAGATTGGCATTGAATCGGATCTCACTTAAATGTCTGGTCGCTACGTAAATACGTTGTTTCAAAAATACTTAGGAGGCATTGAACCTAATCGTTTCGGAAGTGTAGATATTGTCCAGGTTTTTCGCTGTGAGGGATTTGGGAATTCGGTTATTCCGAGGCCGTCTCATGTTGAAAACACGATGTTTCTCCCAGTTTGGCCTCAAGACCTGCAAATTTCACTTGACAGTTTTCGTACAACGTCCTCGTGGTGCTAGCTGGGTGATTTGGGTTTGCTCCGTTCCAGCAAAGAGTTCGGCGGCAGTGTTGCAGGACGTGTTGCGTTATTGTCTAGCAAGCAATCTCCCTATAAAAACCCACTTATGTCTGTTTCACTACACTACAACGTGGCGGTTGTGACTGTTCACCAACTAAAGTCACTGCCCCTTGCTTATCAGGACAATCGTATCCAGTCCACAGACGTCAAGCCTCTCTTCCGACGATGGCGACGCGATCAAACACAGTCGAAAGTTCGACAACATATTTATGAACCCAAGCTACACACAGCACCTACACACCCACATACTTTCTTGGATCTACATATATGACCGTCCTATGTACTTTGGAACACTGCTCGATCACTCCTTGTACTCATACCTGTGCAGATGGGCCACGCGTAGTCGCGAATAACCAGTTTATTTATTAATCGCGCAATATGCTTGGCGTCTAAAATCGCCAAATTTGACAGTGCCTTGAATAGGATGGAGAGGGTAAAACTGTCAGCTGTTTGTTAAACGTCTGCCGAACGTCAATGCGCGGATCGTTGTAAATTGCAACTCGCCTCCCCATTGTCACCAGTATGGGTTTATCCCTCGGTGCCATTATGCACAAGAAAATATCTGTACTACTCCCATTGTGGCTGCAACACTCGAGGTGACATTTCGACTTGTGAGTGCAATACTCCCTTGCCTTGTGT